CCCTCTGCCCTGGTCAACTTTTATCTAAATCATTTTTTGTAGATACCGTAATTTGAAAGATATTCGGGTCCATAGATTAAAATGACTCACCCTGTATATGTACTTATATATGTATTTACATATGTTATATGTAACATACCAGATATGTAAATATGAAACCGGAATTTACCAATAGACGACCATAGCTGTCAATGTAGTTGCCGTCAGACCGCGTCATTAACGCCATTTCCTTGTTCTGACATCTGACAAAGATTTTCAACTCACAACAATACAAGTTTCATACAACAGTATAGTTTGTAATAGCGTTGAACATGTCGAATTTTGTGCCTGGAAACTACGATTTGCGGACAGCATTGATTTTCTGTTACCATTTGAAGAAAACTGCTGCAGAATCGCATCGAATGCTTGTCGAAGCTTACGGTGAGCATGCTCTTGGTAAATCACAGTGCTTTGAGTGGTTTAAAAAATTCAAAAGTGGCGATTTTGACGTGAAAAACGAAGAACGTGAAAAATCACCGAAAAAGTTTAAAGACAGCGAATTGCAAGCATTGTTGGATGAGGATGACGCTCAAACTCAACAACAACTCGCGGATCAATTGAATGTGACACGAGAAGCCGTCTCCATACGTTTGAAATCCACGGGAAAGATTTAGAAGATGGGAAAATGGGTTCCACATGAACTGAATGAAAGACAGCAGGAAAACCGAAAAACCACTTGCGAAATGCTGCTCGCCAGGTACAAAAGAAAGTCATTTCTCCATTGAATTGTGACTGACGATGAAAAGTGGATATATTTTGAGAATCCTATGCCTAAAAGATCATGGGTAACTCCAGGCGAACCATCGACATCGACTGCAAGGCTAAATCGCTATGGATGGAAGACAATGCTGTGTGTTTGGTGGGATCAGAAAGGTGTGATCTAGTATGAGCTGCTAAAACCTGGCGAAACCGTTAATACTGAACGCTACCGACAACAAATGATCAATTTGAATCAAGCTTTGCGTGAAAAACGACCGGAATATCAAAAAAGGCAACACAAAGTGATTTTGCTTCATGATAATGCACCATCACACACAGCAAAACTGGTCAAGGAAACGATTGAGGCGTTTGATTGGGAAATACTCTCGCATGTGGCGTACTCACCAGACTTGGCTCCGTCCGATTACTACACTGAGAAACCCATTTAGTTGAATCAATTAATTTCTTGTTTGGACATGGGCAAACAAATCCTTGGTTGATGCAATAAAATAATTTAGTTGAAGCCAAACATTTGATTATTGTGAATAACTTTATCAGATGTCAATGTTTATCAGAAACAAGTAAAATGTTACAATAACCAAATTGTTACAATAACCAAATAGTTGAAGCAAATGCTTTGCTTCAACTAAATTATTTTATTGCATCAATTAATTTCTTGTTTGGATATGGGCAAACAAATCTTTGATTGATTTAACTAAATGGGTTTCTCAGTGTACTTATTTGCATCGATGGGACACGCACTTGCTCAGTAGCGCTTCATTTCTTAAGAAGATATACGAAAATGGCTAGATGACTGGTTTGGCTCAAAAGAGCAACAATTTTTTTGGCTT